TATTACACACACACACATATATATATATATATATTACGTGTTAAAATACTAGTTATAATAAAAAGAAAATATAATATGTAGTACTAAAAGAGAATTTTTGGTTATAATCACAAATAAAAGTAAAATAATAATTTTTTAAATGAATATAGATGAAGGAGTGTGTTTGGAGCATATATATTTTAATAGAGTAATTTAATTTTTTTTAAAAAATTAAATATTTTGATGTAAAACATTTTGTTTAGATAGAAAATTTATAAAAATTTGAAACTCAAATATTTGTGAAATTCTTTAAAATTGTAAAATTTCAAATTGTTTTAAAAACTAAAAATTTGAAATTATTCTTTTTATTTTTCTACTACCTCCCTCTTCTTTCTTTCAAAGTTGACATAAAAGTATCATTTTTTTAATTATTGAATATTTAAATTTATTTTTTAATTATTAAATATTATCTAATATTATTTATAAAAAAATATTAAATGTTTTAAAATTGACTAATAATTGGTTTAGTTAAATTTAAAAGTTTTCAATATATTTTTTAACCTCAAATTTTATCTATAAAAGAAATTAAATTGTCTTATCCAAACTAAAATTTTAAAATTTTAAAAAATTTAAATTGACTTATCAAAATAAGACATTTAATGAATAATAAAAGTTAAAATAAAAGTAATTCACATCTTTAGAATTTTAAATTTCTGAAATTTCTAAAATTCTCATTTAAACATATAAACTAGATTTAAGAAAAGTGAAAATAAAATATTCTTTTATATATATAGCATAAATTACATAACTTCAAATAATATGAATTATTTTGAATATAGGCACTAAAGTATTTTTTAAAAATTATAGAAATAAAAGATTTATTTTAAAATTTGAGAGAATTAAAAAAAATACTTTATTTTTGGAGAACTGGAAATATATTTAAGCTTTATTTTTAAATAACTAAATTATATTTTTATCATTTATCCTATTTTTCTAGATTTATTTATTTAAGTCTTGTAAAATAAATAAATTTTAATTTTAGTTCCTATAAAATATTTTTCTTTAATTTTCATCTCTATAAAATATAAATCATTATTTTCAATTCATAACGATGATATTAAAGTAGACAAATAATATTTATTTATAAATATTTCATACTAATATGATATCACTAATTGTGGTAGGTTGAGATCTTACTTAATTGTTTTAATAAATAAATAAATAATTAAAAATAATTACATAAAAATGGACTAAAACAATAATTTCAAATTTTAGAAAAATAAAAAAATAACTTTTTATAGAGAATAAAATCAAATTTTGTTTATTTTGTAGAGACTAAAATTATATTTAATTTTTTAATAATTTATTTTTATTAATTCAAGATGTGAAAATTGTATGATTAGAGTCATTAATGAATCCAATTATCAAATTTTTTTTTGTATTACTAGTAGAATTTATTTTTCATATAATTTTAATTATTTTTATACTCTATAACTTTTTTTTAAAGTCCCAATATGAGTTGGATTTAATAAATTTTATGATGAATTCAATCAGAAAAATCTTGTGTATTGGATTAGTAAAAAATAATTGAAATTATGTGACAAATTTAAAAATAATTATTATTTTAAAAAGAGAAATAATTCATGTTAAAGATTGTTAAGTAAAAACTCATATTAAATATAAATTAACAAAATATTTGTTTAAAAGTTAACGAACTAAAATAAATCTAAAAAGAAATTAAAGAACGAAAGTATAATTTAACTTTAAAATTATATATTTAGTTATTTGGTTATGGGGCGGGGAAGAATAGAGGTAGAAGTCTTAAAAAAAAAAGTGTAGAGCAGAAAGGAAGTATCAAGCATGAAGAAAAATAATCAAATAAAAAAAAGGGGTAATTTGAATGAGGAAGGAGGATACGTTTGCAATCTGATCGGAGACTCCTAGACTGGGCAGCCCAATTTGCTTTTGCGAGGTAACAAAGTAAGTAACTAGTTATTATCATCACAAGGTTGAAGATCCAAGATTCAATCCCAATTGGCATGGAGACTCATCCCGGAATATCTCCACCTCCACTTCTACTTGTTTTTGTCTTTTCGGTATGGATCTTTAGGGTTTATGCTCTCCTTCTCTCAATTTTGTCAATCCTTAATAATTAACTCTTTCTATTACGTTCACAGGTTTTGTTTTTGTTTTGTGCTGTACATTCTTCTGACCTTTCAACAACAAAGTAACAACTCCATTCTTTTCGTCTTTGCTTTTCTCCTCCCTTCCTCCCAAACCTGATTTCTTCTTTTCTACAGAGCTTCTCTGGCCCTCCATGATTGCGAGCAATGTCATCGCAACAAGGTCTGTTCATCATATCAATATGTACTTCACCATTCAAACTTACCCCATTTATGACCTTGTTGCTATTGCTGTGCAAGCAGGAACAAGATATTTCTACAGCTAGAAACCCCGATGAAAAGGTTTTACCGGACATCATTATTTAAATCCACAGGCGTGGACCTACCAATATGCTTATATTGTTAGTAATTATTTTATGCAGGATATTGATATAATTGCAACATACAGCGATGCTTCTGGCCATGTTCGACTCGCAAGGTTGAAAATGAGGGATTTATCTGATTCCTGGATTTGGGAAAACCCTACTAATGGAAACAATGAATTTCAAAAGAGCTCCCAGGTACTTTAGTTTGATTTCATACTTTTCTTCAGTTCAGGTTAATGCTGTAATATGGAAGGACCTTAATATCTAGCCAAAAACATAAATAAACTTGTGGGGGAATTTCAGTTACAAAGTTACCGAACATTGATTCGAGTGAACATTTTAATATGTAATAAATTGACCAGGGAATGGTGAATACTATTGATATGCCTGTGAGGACATTTCAACGGTCACTCTTGAAAATGTAAGAAGCATTTAATCTTGTGCTTATTCAAGGAGTCTTGAGAAGCCATTCACCACACTATTATAAAAGGAGGTTCTTGTGAAGAGAAAAGACACCATCCCAAGTTGAAGGGGATCGTGTGAAGGGAGGAGAATCCCAAACAGAAGAGCTATGAGCCAAAGAGATGTGAGAGAGTTTCTTGTGAGTGAGAGTATAATCATTCCTTGTAACTCTCGAGTGAGAGACTTAGGATTGTATGGTGATACACTACTTGTGGAGGGTTTTTCAAGTTTGTCTAGAAAACTTGCTATCTTTATTTTGAGATAGTAAATATCTATTGAAGCATTTCCATGGATGTAGGTAAGTTGTGTCAAACCTTGTTAAATTTGTGTTTTTGTTGTTTTTCTCTTTGGTGCTTTTTGTGATAACACTTTACAATGTGTGGCCTTACAAAAGGATAGGACACCAAGGGAGCATTTGGTATGTGACAAATTTTTTCATATTTGGAATCATAAATCTTGGGAATCATGATTCCTAGGAATGATAAAAATTTGTTTGGTTGGTTAGAAATATTTCTGAAAATATTTACAAATGTGACATGGAATCATAGATTTTTAATGCATTAAATAAGAAAATAAAAGTAACATGACGTTTTTACCACATTAAAATTATTTTTTAACTCTGGAACGTTAGTTTCCTACCTCCCATTTGAACAATTTTTTGGGAAACTTATGTAAAAACCATTATCGAAAACAATGTTACCTAGGAATGTTATTTTTTAAATGACAAAAATATGAGAAACTAACATTCTCAACTTTAGATTCTCAGAAAAGTAAAAACTTTCCATGTACCAAATGCCCCTTGAATGGTTATATACAAGAAAAGATTGGTGTAAGACCAACTAATAAAAAGATGACAAAAGATCGGTTAAGGTGATTTGGCCATGTACAAAGAAGAGCACAAGAGGCACCATTAAGAAGACCAAAGATATCATGGTTTTTAATTATGTAAAAAAGAGGAGAGATACCAAAAAGGAGTTTGGCAGTGTTAAGAAAGAGAAAGAAAGAAATTGAATATAGTTTCTGTAATTGATTTTATTACAAATGAATATCACACAATGATAATGGAGCAGAACCACTATATAATGCACAAGCTGTCATGATGACAGTTCTAATTGATCAAAACTAACTAACTAACACATCTGAGTCAGATTAGTAATTGCTCTTTTACAATACATTCACCCCCCCCCCCCCCAACCAC